GGTACTTCCAGCGTAAGCAATCTGTGTATGTAGCTTTCATCACTTAAAGCTAGTGGGATAGCCACTATTCGCAAAATCGTGAAAAAGTGCACATCCTTAACAGGGATAGTATAGTGGATATAGGTGCGGAGGTCCCTGCTCTAGATGCGGATCAAATTTTTATACTGGTGAGCTGGCGGCTTGTTGGCTGGTTATGGCCAGTGGAAACCAGAGATCAGTTAAAATACTGATGCAAACATGGCCTTGATGTCCATATTTTTTGATTAGTATTCTAAGCAAGAGTACTTGACTTATGTGGGCCAGTTGTTTGCCACTGGCAGGTACAAGTCCAACTGTTATACCCTTGTTTTAAAATTTACCTGTCACAAATTGGTCTTGCTTCTTTTACTTTCATCATTATTTCCACTATCTTGATTCTAGATCACAGATTCCAAGACATATGGTTTCCACCTTTATGATATATCATTCTCTGATTGACAGATCATATCTGTTATTGCACATATTGACATCTCTTAGATACATGATTATCATTCTATGGCTATTTCCATCAGTATCTTCTGATCTACTCTCGTCTTTTTGTACTGTTTACATATATACTTCATAGCTCTGTAGATAGGCTCCCAGCTTGACCTCTTGTACTCTGCACACTTGTACTTGCCCTATAGCTATGTTGCTTATTGATATTTCTTGCTGATTGTGCAGCTTCCTGACATTACCTAGCTTTATTGTAATTTAATTTAATTTTTTTTAGTGTATTTAGTTAATTTCTGGAACTAACTCACTTCACAGTTCAAAAGTAGAATGAGCAAGTAGAAACAGATAATGAGTCAGTTTAGCACAGGAAAATGGCATTGTCAAGGAGAGGGAGAGTCAAAGATAATTGATCTGAATGATATCTATATGGTTCCATCACAAGAGCCCCCAGCTTCGACAATTCCTTGGATTCTCAATTATTGTCCAACATCTTCTCTTTAGCTGCCTGCATAAAAATGTCTCCAAAGTACTCATCCTTCATGGTAATATCCACAGGGTTAGCATACATCAAGATATCCCATCCGGGTTCAAAGGGGGTGTAGTCACATCTGAGAAAATGACACTTTGTTATAACAACCTACAATCATTTTAGCCAGGTTATAACTGAATTATAACTGATTATAACTGATTATAATTCAGTTATAAGTTGGTTATAATAGTTCATGAATTGTTATAACCCTCATAATAGGGTTATAATATATTGTCATTTTGTGTGATGTAGGGTGTGAGAAGGCCCTGGCTGCCTAAGAAAGAATGGATCAGATGCAAGACAAGGCCGGAAGATTTGTTGATTGCTGAATTAGGCCTTTTCCTATTCTCTCGCTCCTTTCTATGTCGATAATATGTCTCTTTTGTGTATAAAGTAGTGAGTTTCTAAAATGAAACACACAACCAAAACACACTCTAAAAGCAAGATTTTTGATATCGGGCATCAGCCAAAAAAATCGGTTTCCAATTTGGAACGGGCATTATTTGCTGTTCTTTCTGTGAAATCTGATTATTCTATTGCTTTAATTTGTAACACTAAGTACAGATACAAATTGGGAAGCGAAATGCCCAAGCATTTCCTTCTTTCCCGGCCCAGATTTTACTCAAATCACATAAATCTTTTTTTATACTAGCTTCTGTGCTTCAGCTCTACCAGATAAAAAAAACATTTGTGTGATTGGTGTTCAGGATAGTGAAGATAAGTGTACATACTTTTTGCCGCGAAAAAAGTGATTTTTATCATAGAACCGAAATTTTGGATTTGGCTTGCCATGATCATCTCATCAAAATTCTGACTGAATAGGCTTTTTCTGAGACCCTAAAAACCCCCTCCATACACCTTGAAGAGGGCTTCTCGTGTGTCTTTTCGTTGCTGTGAACAGGATCTTATTTTCGAGAAATACTAGTCGTGAGAAACAGGTTCCCATTTTGGGAAATTTCAATGCGTTTCGCTTCTGTAGCGGATTTCGCTTCCCAATTAGTCTCTGTACTTGTACAGCCATTTTCCAGAGTGATAAAAGATTGTCTTTGATATCTGTACCTTATACCAAAATTCCACCACAGCGGAACACGGATTATTAGAGATATATATCCGAAAAATCAAGCTAGGTTCAGGCCTGTGTTCTATCCGGCTAGTTTCTAGGAAACTGCTTTCGGTTTCATTAAGCAGCCGAGTCCTTATTGACTACTAGAAAAAGGCTGTGCATTACTGTCAACATGCTCATTAAATTATTTCTGTTTCGATCATAGCTGTCAATTAGATAGATATAAGTATGCACACGATCCAAATCAAACATGCCGGTGCAAGAATCTGGTACATGGTCATCCTATGTAAATTTTTCTTCAACATGGACATGTGGCTGAAAATAACTTATTGGTCACATTACGAGGCCGAATTTATGAAGATTCGTCCTTACTTGTCCCAGTCTGCGGGCAGTGGCTGTGCCGTACTAGATGCTATCCCCTTTAGGCATTCAGCCCGCCAGTACACTGGAGAAGATCACAGCATTGATATTTTAATTAGTAACGGCTTCGTACTTGCCACGCGCAAACGATGGCCCACTTCTTTTATCAAATCGGGATTTAGGGTTAAGCCTATATCAGAATAAACTAAATACCTCATATCTTTAACATTATGACTTTGCTTGATGTTGCTGCATTCAGTGGCCAGTGGCCACTGCATCAATAAATGTCAGATTGATTTTTCAGTGTGACCACTCTTGTACTGATCCTGTTTCCAAATAAATTCTGGCAACGGCCCGTCCCCTTGTTAGCTGTGTAAAATGTCAGTTGCACCAAACCGCATTTGCAATGAAAAAAATGGATATTTTACGTGCAATTAGGGTTCAAATGTGGTTTACTGATGGGCCCAAACTTGGAGCTGAAAAGGTGTTCCGTTCAAGCCAAGATTTAACGATAAACCACATTTGATAAGAATCCTCAGACCTTCACACTTGCGAGCCCGAGAAAGGGTAGTTGGGAGATAATATAATTCGAATGTATTAAGGAGAAACAGCAGATGTCAGATATGAAACAATTACAGGATAAAATGATCCTTCAATTTCACGCCTTATGGACACCCCGGGAAAATTTAACTGAATTCATGGAAGAGTACTTAAGGAGGATTCTTTGCAAACAAGTTAACAACGACCATGTCAAAAAACTTTCTGTTCTGCCTTTTCCTCGCATTTCTTATCCCTGCTACTTCATACAGTGTTCCCCTTCCTGAAGGAACACCTGTTTATACCGGTAAGTAGCTGTCTATGTTGGGGTGTGGTTTCTTGATACCATGTGGAAATTCTGTTTCATAGTTCTGTCGTGAAGACTAAATCTGACATTTTATTCCGATTACTAATATTCATTTTTCCTTTATTTTTAGACATTTACATTTGTATGTTCCTGTTTACCATTTCCTTTAAAACCTTATTTCCAAAACCTTAACCTTAACTACGTAGTGCACGCAGCCTTATCGCTGCCTTGCACCTTTACACCTGTGTTACACCTTTCTTTCATTTCCCTTTCGATCGTACTTAGCCATAGCCTTTCCATAGCCTTACCATAATCTTTCCCGAACATGCGTTAGTAGTGCTGTAGACCCTTAGCCCTAGTTTCACATCGCCGATTCCTGTAGTACGGTATTTAAACTCTCCATCCTGTAACCTAGTCCTCATCTTGACCTCTTGGTCTATTTGGACTAGGTATGACTTGTATCCTCTTTACTACTCTAATCTAACTTGGTCTATTCGGACTAGCTTGTGTTAAGGTCTCTCGTTCTCGTCGTGCTCTCTCGTTGTCGCCTCTTCGCGACAAGTTCCCACTGTTAGTACCACCACCTCTAAGATATTCCGACCGGTTACTGGTGAGAACGTACCTGGCTACTTATATTCCCTGATTTACCTTGTGGGAAATTCTCTTCCATAGCCCCGGCTTGTGGAAATCTTTTATGCACATGCTTCCCCTTCTGCTAGTAATTTGTCATTCTGAAGTTTTTGCATGTATTGGTTACAAGTGACACAAAGTGTTTGCTAAAATAGCCCCATGGCATTGTGTACAGGAGCATGTTTGGCTGCTAGCTTATTTAGGGAAACTGTTGTTTTGTTTTAGAATTTGAAAATTTACAATATTTTATTCTCTACTTCAGCATTTATTTATTTACCTTGTATTATGCTTCACTTTGTGAGGGTAATTAATAAATGAATGTCGGATTTCTTTTGACCATGGTCTTCTTGTCTCCAAGTCAATCACGGTCGGATCAGTCCTATCCCCTACCTTCATCACTGACATCCAGACTCTGGTGCAAGCAAAGGAAAAACTCTATATCCGTCTAACCACACTGTGAGTAAGTACACATTGTCATGTTATTATAAAAAAAAACCAGTCTTGCCACTGGGTACAGTCCCACTCAGAAAAGAAGATACACACTTGAGTTAATTTATTAACACATCACAGTAGCTCCCAGTAAAAAATGACAGGATTACAGCTGTTTTCATAAATATACGGAATCGCAAAAATTTTCGTCATGAGGCAACCGATCGGATCTTCTCCGGCTCACGCGCTCACGATCATCCCGTGTTTTTGTGCCGATTTTGGCATTCGCTCGGGCCTCCTCAATCCTCACCACAACAGAGGGGGTGCCAGTTCGCCGAGTCTCCGATTTTGTATGGTAAATGGTCTGGTAGAATGGCAGACTTGTAGACAACTATAAATGCCCACTGTGCTATCTGGCAACTATAGTGTATGGTATGATACAGAATCTAGGACACATAAAAGACGGTTTGCAGTAAGGCATACTGTCTTGGATAGGGTAGTTGACAAGATGGCTGGAGGCGGGCAGGGATATTGTACAGAAGACCCGAGGTCCGAGAATGTGTCGCCGATTGCGAGCCGGAGAAGATCCGATCGGCGACTCATGATGAAAACTTTTGCGATTCCGTATATTTATGAAAACAACTGTAAAAGAATATCCAACTTAGCCATGATGCCCACTGGCTGGATTGAACAACCGACCTCACCATCGATACTTATGAAGAAATATGCATACGAGTGGCGCGCTCTACCACTGAGCTAAGCGGGCATCACACATGAGATAGAGGGCGGGAGGAATGGAATGGAAGTCTGTAAACAGAGAGTCGTACGATCGGAACATGATTATTTCATTGGTTGGGGCAAGGTAGCTTGAAATGAGGCTTCCACGAGGCTGCTTGCCCTTGAGTTTCCCCGAGATTCCTTCAGAGGAACCCGCAATCGCATCGGACGTCGGATGTCGGAATGGATAGGGCGGGGGTGTCGGGGACGATGGGAGGTTGGTACCTGAGATAAAGAAAGCCACTGATAGTGATAAGATTGTACGGAAGTAGGGCGTCATTTCAGCTTACTACCATGGCAACTCGTCAATCATGTTCTTGGAAAATCACTCCCCCAACAGTATAGAAATGTATGTCAGAGGTGACGCTATTGTCCCCAACATTCATGTCGTGGAACACGGTGAGAGAAGGAGCAAAAAGCGCATGTCAAAGGTGGTGACGTCAGAAAGTTCCGTCGGGATAGGACACGTGCAGGCCCCACGTCTAGACGTCTCCCCAACAGGCACAGCGCAACGAGCACCTTCGTTTGAGAACAGCCATGGCCAGTAAGTGTGTTTTGCAATATTCCTTACCTTTCGGTTGTATGTCTCAGTTTCGGGGATGGATGGATCGGTTAGTGTCTCGGTTGGAAAGCCGGGTGGAGTTTGTACTGGCTCGAGAAAAGAATGCCGAGATAAGCCACGCCGCTTTTTCTTTTTTTTCTATTCCCTTCTTCCCTTCACCCCCTCTTTTGGTTTTCAAACCCGAGCTTAGCTGGCAAGTAGGCTCGTAATCCATTCAAGCGAAGGAAGAAAAAAAAAGACGAGTCTAAAAAAGCTTTTTGTGGGACACGATGAGCACCAGCAGCGAGACATCACCGCCCCCTTCAACCACAGCGCCCCCATCCTCGACCTCTGCACCGACGTCTGCTGATACTGGTACTGCCCAGTCTCCTCCTTCCTCTCCTTCCTCTTCTTCTTCTCCACCTCCAACAACATCCTCTGACACATCAACTTCCTCTTCTACAGGCACCTCTGCACCCCCATCAACAGACTCGTCCCAACCACCTTCAACGACCCAAGAATCCTCTCCACCTCCGACTACAGACCAACCCTCTTCCACCGAAGAACCGTCATCCCAATCATCCACCGAGCAACCTAGTTCGACAGGTGGAAATGAAACCACCGCACCACCCGCCAACTCTGATTCTTCTTCTACCTCGTCGACTACAGAGCCTCCCAGTTCAACAGAATCGACGCTTTCGGCGCCGGTAACGACTCAGATTGTGACTACTGTCGTGTGAGTACACGAAACGTGTTCCTCCGAGGTATCTAATCTCTCTCTCTACACAGTCAAACATCCGACAACGGCCAACTAGTCACCACCGTCATATCCACCTCCTCTATCATACCCTCCGGAGCGACAATCACCACTCCTGCAGATGCAAACTCTTCCAACTCCAACGGAGGAGGCTCATCATCAAACACTGGAGCGATAGTAGGAGGTGTAGTAGGCGGAGTCGTAGGCGTTATCGCTCTTTTACTCTTAATATGGGGTATCATGCGATGGAGGAGGAACCGTTACAACGACGTGTTTGATGGAAACTTTGATCCTGATAGACTGACAAAGAGGCCTGAAGGGGGGACGTTGCCGAATATCCCTGTTGATGATGGTGAGTGCCTTTGCTCTCTTGTCTCGTATGTTCCCCAATAATAACATCTATGTAGACAACCCAAACATGACTCAACTAGACGACGACGGTATGGGCGGCAGACTAGCAGCCTCAACCGTCGGAGGAGGCATCGTCGCTCCATACCCCCTCCACCACCCTTCCAACGCCAACACGCGTACCTCGCCTACATCTCCATCTTTCCCCGTAGCTACTCCCTTCCCCGGTAATCCAAACGCTTCGTACCCGAATAATCTCAATATGTACGCAGGAGGAGGGCCGGGTTCGTCTGTCGATGGACACGGGTATCCTGGTCCTGGAGGCATGTGGGGTGTTGGTCCAGGGAGACATCCTTCCCCAGGTCCTTCGTTGGCTAATACCGGTACTACCGACTCTCCTCATTCCTTTAACAATCTCGGGCCTGGAGCAGCTGCTGCAGCTGGTTTCGCCGGTGCCGCTGCTTATGCGCACCATAACCAAGGAGGAGGAGGTCGAGCCCCCTCTGTCGTATCCTCATCTCAATCATCCGGTGCACAGGGTATGTCTCCTGGGAGATTGGCAAAGGAACGAGAAGCGTTTGGGATGTATAATCAACATGGGCCTTCTGCTTATCCCCAACAAGGTCCAGGTCCTCAGGGTCAAGGTCAATTCGGTGCTTTTGGACCTGGGCCTGCAGCCGTAGGTGCAGGAGGACATGTCCCCGGACAAAGGAGGTACTCGGGAAACTCTGAAGGTACTTTCTCTGATCAATCCGGTGGAAGACCGCCGTTCGCTGGTGGTCCTGGTCCTATTCCTGGGCCTGGAAGTACGGGTTCGGGATCTAATGGGACAGGTCCAGGTGGACAGAGGGGGAGTGGGGCGTATATGGTGCATAATCCTGATGAAGATCAAGGTCAGGGGCAAGGGCAAGCAGGGTATGCGGGAGGATGGAGTGAGGAGGCTAGGAGGATGTATTTGATGGGTGGGCCGCAGCAGCAGGGACAGGGTGGACAGGGAGGTGAGTTGTTTTTCTTTTCTTTTTTTTTGTTTCTTTTTCGGGATCTTGTGCTTCCTCGAGTTGAAGCTGGAGCTGGAGGAACAACGTTTATTCTGTTGCCTTTGTCTCGTTATACGACGGATTTCTTTCGTTTTTTTTTTTATTTTCTTTCACATACAAGTACACAAATGCTAACCAACTCTCTTCTTTCCTTTCTTCTCTAGGAGGAGGCAAAACACCCCCACGAAACGCCAATCCATCCGGAGTCCTCGTTCATCAAGACGGTGGTCGTGTTCCCCAATCTGAGCCACAGACACCTGAAGGTCCGGAGGAGATTCCGCCTACGTATGATAGTTTGGTTTTGGATCGTGACCAAGGAGGGAGTGGGAGTAGGAGTCCGAGGAGAGCAGGAGGTGGTGGTGGAGAGCAGCATTAGATTTCGAATGAATGACAGACAAGCTACGAAGAAGAAAACCCAAGATAAACCGACATGTCTACTCTGTGTATCAACGACCTTGTTTATGGCCTCTCACCACGATATACTAAAATTCGCCGAAATTGGCTTTTATTCTATTCTATTCTTCTAGACTCTTTCTTTCTCTACGCTTTCTTCAACCTTGCTTTCTTCTTCATCTCCTCGCCGTCGTCGTTTGTTCTCCCGTCGCGCTACGCTACTTACCTCACCTGGCTTCCTTTGTCACGTTTTGTCCCCGTCCCAACACGCACGCACACGCACACACGCATTTATCCTTGTACTTGATTTCCTCTCCGCATCCTAATTATCGCATTCCATTCCATGTACTTAGTATGTAACCCGAGCAATTGACTTCCGAGTATCTATTCTCTCCTCTACATCCTTGCTTTCCTTCATCTACTCTATACAAACAACTCCTCGTTCCCGTTCCGTTCGTTACCTCTTTATTTCTTTCCTTCTCTCTAGCTCTCTGTTATCCGAGTCTTACGCTACACGTACTCATCGCCTCCAGGAATACCTACTTACTTGATGCGTATTACGCGTTATTCCGATGGAACCCAGGGTACCCAACTCGACTCGACTCCACTTGACGGAGACCTCTGCCCGCCGACACACACATACACACACATATGAAGCTGTGCTACTAAAGTACCACAGTCTCACTTCGGTCCTTGCATGCCTTGCCTTGCCTTTACCTCGGGTTTACTGCGCTACTACATACATGTGTATGTTCAGTGTGTATGGTGTGTATGGCATGTATTCCGGCGGTCGGTCGGTTCAGTTTGGTGGAGCTATGTATGTATCACTTACATATCACCATCTCCACCACTGCGGCGTATCGTGTCCGGCTGCGACTATGACTACGAGCGAAATGGGGTGTTTATGACACTGGAGGTAGTTTTCAAAGGATTGGAGAGATGCGAATGGAACCGGGCTGTGTACTGTAGAGTGAGAGAATGGGGATGGGAACGGGGAGGACGGGAGCGGAGACGGGATATGGAGGCTAGTGCTACAGGACCAGGCTAGGAAACTTTTAGCGTCGGGGTGGAGCTCGGCACTAGTGCCAGTGGAGGAACCTGGGTTACTTTTTTTTATGGGATGCCAAGTAGTGTTTTGGTTGGAGTGCCGCGTAGAGTGGATGCGAGTGGTTTCGGGGGGGATGGGACTCCTTGAACTTTTTTTTTTCAGTTCCTTTTCTTTTTTGTCTGTTTATTCTTCTTTCCCAGACACTTTTATTATTGTATCCATCAAAGCTTTCTTGTCACGTCGTCGTTTGTCATTGTCATTGTCACGTACCTTCACTTTACTTGCAGACTCTTTCACGCTTTCTTTTTTATCATGATGATGATGATGATTTATCGTACATACTTTGTTACTATGCAATGTTGTATTTAATGAATTATGAACCCACCACGGACTTTCAAGCAAGCTATACTTGGACATATATGCGTTCTACCGTTTGAATTCTTTTTCCGTATCTCGATGCTATTCGTTTACTATAGACGTGCATGTGTTTAAGCTGTTCGGCTGACATGGAACGTGCATTCAAAGTCACAACCCATCATCCAAGTACTTATTTTGTTTATCTGTTGGTACACAAATAAGCAAGTACTCGCGGCTTCCTCGTTGCAAAAGTGCCGCAGTTTGCCTAGTACTCAACTCAATCAGTACAATATCGAACGTTTAAAGAATAAGAATAAGAATGGCACCACTTACTATAGGTTCTACATATTGACATTTGCCTCGCAAGCGGCAAAGTTGAACCCTCTCCCAAAGATTGGGGACCCAACCTATCAAATCGGTCTCCGGTCCAAGTACACTTGACTTGCTCATATAATTATAATTGCTATCAACCTAGCTGTTCGGCTGACATGAACGTGCATTCGAGTCC